TCACAGCAGGGGAGCAACCCCAACCTCTGTATCTATAGTTTGGTATAAATATATCTAATATGCTTACCTGCAATTTAGAGCCTAGAGTTACTCACCCCATGTGCTTTAAATAACTGGCAACACTTTTTTGAACTTATTCCCCATTTTACCGACAAATATATAGACTTAAGAGGGAAAAAGAAAATAAAGAAGAAGTTGTCTCGTCTTTCTTAGAGATGCAGCCAATCAGAAGTCAGGAACTCTATAAAACACCCTAGTCCCGCCTACTGACTTTGATGAGTAACGCTGACAGCTTGAGTAATATAATGAGAGAGCATTAATGAAATAAATACAGAGTGAAATAATAAGCCGTATATTAATTCAAAAATAATTATATTTGATGTTATAATTTAAATATTTCAATATTTAATTGTACATTTAGTTATTTTTAATTTTACACTTTATAATCTGAAGTTAGATAAAAATTTTTAACAATGTAATTAATAAATAAATGTTACATTTAATTATTTAATGCTACATTTTTCTAATTCATTAAACATCTACATTTTTTTTAAGTTCATGACATATTGATATATTTATTTAATTCTGTCCCCCTTAGCCTTCCATAGTGCTGCATTACAATACTTTTGCAGTGCAGATGTTTGTTCCAAAAAGGAACAGGCTAGATGGTCCTATTCTGCCTGAATACTAGGCTGCAGAGATGGCAGAAAGATCTTATCCATGGGATTCAACCCGCAGCCCTCCCCCAAAAAACCCACTGACTGACCCACATTTTGATGGCTCCCCATCTCTGCCAATATAGATGACGCCTAACGACTTATACATCTGTATTATTTGAAATACGCAATGCTTTCCATGCAAACCCCGTATGAACTCTCACCACACACTAACTGCCCCCCCTGCTGATTTTTTTTTTTTTTTTTTAGCATAGTGACCACCAAATCATCTCAAATTCTTCTTTGGTGTGGTTTAATCAGCTCAAGGCATATGTGGGCCTTCTGTTTAACATGTTGCAACAAAACAGATCATAAAAAAAAAATTTAAAAACTCAGACAAGCCTCAGATTTTCAGGCAACATCTGTATGAAAGTGTTAAGGCTGGGTATTTATCTTCAGAACGGCGACATGCAGAACACATAGACAATCCCACTGATGGTCAAACATTATGGTGGTGTAAAGTCTGGGGCTGCTTTGCTTCTTCGGGTGCTGGAAAACTTCCTTCAACAGGTTTAACCTTTCGTTTTGCTCTGGCGGAATATTTCAGGGAAAATGTCTGGCTAACCATTTTCAAAACACAGGTTTTTAAGTGGACTATTTAAAGAATGTCTCCATAGTAAATGCTAGCTGTCAGAAACCCTTATTACTGCCCAAAGTGATTAACTTTAGTGGGTGATTAGTTTTTCACATGAGGAAAATGAGAAATTAAAATCATTTAAATTCCTTCAGTTTTATCTGTTAAGGTGTTTTTTTTTCTCCAGAAATTGAAATATCTCAAAAGTGAAAAATCTGTATGGGTTAAATTATTCTTGACAGAGCTTTCTAAATCATATTTATATATTATTCTATAATGTATTTCCATATATGATCAAAAACTACTAAATACCAAGAGAAATAAACTGATCCCAAATTTTTGCATAAATATGATCCTTTCCTGATTGACTGTAATAACCGCAGGATGATTCTGGTCTTCCAGATAATAAACCAGACTGCAGACAGTCAGTCGGACTGGGAAGGGCAGTTCCCCTTTGAGTGTCTGAGTGGTTTATTTTAAAAAGAGGATGCTTGCATCTCTGCTTGTACATTCCATGTGGGACTGTGGGGTAGGCGCATGACATGGCGGGACGTTTGATGGCCTGAGGTCTGACCTGCAGCATCGCTTGCATAAAAAACGATGATACATTCACTGAGTCGACCAGCCCGAGGCTTCACCTTACCAGACAGAAAATCTAAACTTGGTTGCATTTGTGCACGTTTCCCCAAGATGTTTCTCTCCACAGGCAGAGTCATCTTAAACCACAGCTCTGCCCTCACCTATTCCTCATCTGTGGGCGCTTCTGAAGCAGGTCGGTTCTGTTGCAGCTTTACCCTTTAATCTGATGAAAAATCAATGAAACAGGGAATTTCTGTGGTTTGGTGGTCTGCATGACCATTAAAAATGTTTTCCTGACTCATGCACCCTTAGGTAAAAGAAAAAAACCAACAACAAAAGCACACCTATACACCTCTCATGCTAGACATCCTGTCTCTGTAGCTGCCACCAAACCAGTTTGAGTCACGCCTGAAAATAGAGCCTTCGTTTTGTGCAATCACAGAGAGCCACACATACTTCTCGTAAATGCGTGTATGTGTGCTTTGAGTTGAAAAGCAGAAAAAGCTGGAGCCAACGTCGTGCAGTCCCCCCCCCTCCAACTTTCTCAAGGATACCATGCATATTTTAACTTCCAATGCCATTTTTATTGCCAGTTTTCCCCCCTTCCTGAACTGACAGCCAGATGTTCTAACGGAGCCAGGGAGTGGGAGCATGGCATGTCCACGCATGGCATGGACAGACAGGCCTCTGGTTGTCTCTGCGGTTGTGAAAGCCCGTGCATGGGTGTGCTGTCCCCTGACCGGAGCAAAGAAGCTGGGAAAACCCCAGAAACATTCCTGCAATTCCTCCCAAGCACCACCCAACGCAGGGAGCAAAAATGCACAGAAGTGGGATTTTAGATGTTTTTCTAAATGAGAAAAGTTTGTGGCATTACATATTCTGGGTTTGAATTTAACCCAGTATTCACAGTCTCTCCATCCTCTTGTCCCCTTCTCCTTTCTGGTGCCACGTTGCACCACAAAAACCCCCATGCTTCAACCCTGGAGCTTCAGAGCTCAGTGCACTGAGGTAGCAGTTTTCTTTTGTCATAAAAATAAGCTGGTGCACTACAAGAAATAATAAAGCATTACCCAAAATTATCAACTTTTATAGGTAGAAATCAAGTCTGGATGTTTAGGAAGACTCTAAAGCAGGGGTCCCCAAACTTTTTCCTGCGAGGGCCACATCACTTTTCCCTTCTCTGATGGGGGGCCGGGGTCAGTTTGCAACAGAAAAATTGTGACGATTGCAAGAGTGCCTAAATTTATGATGGAATTTATGTCTTTATGACAGGATTTATAGTGTCTCTGCAGGTTATATTCTTTGAATACTGCCACTGCCCCTGGACAGATGAGACAGACAGCCTTTTCTTTGCATTGAACAAAAAAATAATTGTTCATCCAATTCAGGTTAAATGGCCTGCATTCTGAATCAATTTTTCTCCTACCTAATCTTTTCGCCATTATTCCGTTCTCTCTTTACGAAAGAGGATTAGGGTCATTCAAAAAAGACTATTCAATTCTGACTTTTTTTTCCATAGAATTCTGACTTTTGTCGCAGAATTCTGAGACAAAAGTCAGAATTGAATAGACTATTATTTTTATTTTTTTGAATGGTCCTAATCCTCTTCCGTATCTCTTTGAGAGGGGCGGGTTTAAGATTTTTTGCTGGGGGTTGCCAGATAGGGGCACAGACCCCAAAAGTGTGGAACATTGTCACGTTATATGTGTGTATGAAATAGTTACTAATAGTTAATAATGAAAAACTTCATAATTAAGGAACATTTTATTGCAAATGTCCAACTTTATATTCAAATACAAAAAAATTAAATAAGTAATACACTTATATGAAAATACTCTCTGGTATTGTTCAGGGGGCCGGACCAAATGTGGAGGCGGGCCGTAGTTTGGGGACCACTAAGAATAAGGAAAGATCAAAGAGGGGACAGGTATATTAAAAAGAGGAAAGCCTTCAACTCACAAAATGCAAAAACTAGCTTTGGAAATAATAGAAATCCTAAAAAGGTTTTGAGGACATATCTTATCCGAAGCCGTCTTCAGATGGCCCTTTTTTATTTCCATCCTCATAGTTTACACACCTTACTGCTTTTCTGTTAAACTTACCTTCTGGATACAGTGTCATCAAACCAAATAAGTTTTCTTGCAACCGTATCCTTTTTTTTTATTTTTTTAATCACACTGATATCAAGTCTGGACCCATGCAGTAAATGCTCCATTTAATGATGCCGTGTTGACGGGGAACCTTTAATAACAGACAATAAATGTATCATCTTTAGTAACATTTCATGAGGACAAGTTCAGAAAACCAATTCCTGATTGCTCTAATGCAATTAGCAAACTTGTGTGAGTAAATCCGTGAACCAGAACTAAACATGGAGAAGCAGCATTTAGTTCCTATGCTCCGCTTATCTGGAACAAACTTCCAGAAAACTGTAAAAGTGCAGAAAGCCTGAGTTTAAGACTAAAAACATATTTGTTTAGGATTGCCTTCGACTGTTCTAATTAAACAGTTCAACTTTTTTATTTTCTTTACTCCAACTGTTTTTATTTTTCTTTTTTGTTTCTGCATTTTTAATTATTTTTTCCTACTTGCTTTGATTCTGTTTTATTTTCCTATATTTTAATCATGTAAAGCACTTTGCATTGTCTTTGTATTGAATTGTGCTATACATACAAATTTCCCTCGCCTTGCCTTGCCTTGCTTTCACCACATCTCAAAGTTACCTAACTGGATTAAGCTGAGCCCAGGGGCCCCCATCCTCCTTAATGCGGCCCTGTAGTTTTATATCTAACGCCACATGAGCAAATTAGAATTGATTATTGATGATTTCATAATGTAGGCTATATATAAATATAAATATATGCAAATAGATTTCCAGAATCCTGAAAGACTTCTGCATTCCAGAAGACATTAAATCGCAGAGTGACAGAAAAGATAATTGAATCTGCGTAGGGGATGGAAGTATGCAGCATGAATGTGGTGCAAACTGTGTGAGCCGTGGCCTTAAAGCACCCTCCCTCCCCTCCACTCAGCTGCAGGCTTTCCAGCGGTTTCCACCGGCCACAGGCGGCCGTCCTCGGAGGCTGCAGCAGCGGCCGGTTAAACGTAAACAACAACAGAGCTCCACTCACCTACATCGGCGTTGCAGAACGCCTGTTGCGGATGGACCGGAGCGCAGCTGCACGCCTCCGCGAGCTCCTCCGCGCGCCACAGCAGCAGCAGTAGCGCGAGCGCTGAAAGGATGCCGTTAACGGGAAACGGCATATTGGTAAACACCGCAGCGGGAATCCTCCTCTTTCTTCTTCTTCAGCCTATTTGTCTGTCTGCGCAGATGCGTTGCTGAGTAGATCCAGAGGCAGCGCTTCCCTCCCCTCCTCTGATTTAACACACACGTCAACAACAAACCGGACTGGAGCTGCCGGTTCGGTTCCGATGCTACCCGCTGAGATCGTCGCTGTCAGCAAACTGCCTGCAATGTTTTAACCTCAGGAATCTTTGAGGTTTTTCTAAAGCTGCGGCTCCTCCCCGCTAGATTCAAAGATGACCGGCAGAGGGCGCCATTTCTACATCACAGCAAACTAACCTTAGCTCCCTGAACTGTTTAGTTTCTCTAAACTTCTGCAAGTCTTTCAGAAAATGTACTCTTTTTTACGATTTATTTTTCTTCCTCACATGTTAATTTAAAATAAAATCCAAGAAGTCCAAACAAAGATCCTGTAAGAAGAAGCATCCTTATCCAACTGCAAGCCAAGTTTAAGGCCCATAATGGCTTTTAAGGAATTTCCTTTATAAGAGCCAAAATCACCAGCTTTTAATTTAATATTCTTAGATTCTATTTGAGAGAATTTTTCTGAGGTACCTTTTTTAAGATTTACTTTTGTGCACTTTTGCAAAAGTTTAACTTCCTCATATTACTTAGCTGAGGATCTTGTATCACTCCCTGAATTAGTGTTGCAAGAAAAAAAAAATGTAATTACTGTTGCAAGCTGTTGTCGGAAAATTTAGATTTCTCTTCATCAATATATTAATTTATCCTATGTACTCACTGTTTTCACTCAGTCTCTTTCACCTCCAAGGCCACACAATTCTCTACGTGAGGGCTTTTGCAGACCAGACATTGCTTCTTCCCAAAACAAACCAGATTCTTTCTCAAGGTTTATTCATAAAATGTTACTGTTAACCAAAGTGTCTGTAATTTGTTGTAAATAAGGGGGGGGGCGCGAACGCTGCTCTAGTAGAACAGGGCAGAATGCTGTGCCATAAGGGCTGTATGATGAAATGTTCTCTTTGCAAAGATATGAAGAAATGTGCCAACTGAGTGAAATCCATTCATTTCCGTTTATTTCACTAAGGTGAATAGTTGAATACTTTTTTCCCCACTACAAAGCTCTCACAAAAGATTAGCAAGATCATGTTTTTATTTATTTATTTGCAAGCTCCAAGTTATTTTTGCTTTACTATGTATTTTTGCAGGAGTCCTTTTTGTTTTGTTTTTTTTGTAAAATTCCAAGTTACTTTTGCAAAATTCAATTATTTTTGAAAGGTTGTTTTTGTGAGCTTCTCGACTTTTGCAAGCTCGTACTTTTTTCTTTCTTTTGTAAGTATTAAGGCAAGATCCTATTTCAAAACAATTTTGCAGAAGTTTACAAAAGTAATTCATGATCTGGAAAAATAACTTTTTCTTTCCACCAATGTGTCTGAAGCTAATCTTAAGAATTAACACACTATATATATATAGATTTTTCCTAAATGTAAAGCATATAAATCGATTTCACAATATATATGTATTTAGCAGGCTCAGAAAATATATATTTTTGTACTAATTTTTAAATAAAAACATCTGTAGATTTTCGCTTTACCAACACACAAGAGCAATTTATTAGACTTCTGAAAGGAAAACTCTGAGGCACTCTGTTTTAAAACTGTAGTTTATTCCAACTCATGCTGAGGTTTACGTTTGCACAGATAAACTCTTTTTTTTTTTTATGGAAACCATTTCAATAGAAATGGTTTGATGAATCAATACTGAATCTCCAGCCTACCTCCTTTCTGGCACAAGAGGGCAGCAGCTTCCACTAAAATTGGGGACGTTTTAAGACTTCACAAGTTCATAAAAGGCATTTTAGGATTCCACAGTGAAGCTAATGCTGTTGAACTAACCTAATATAACCACAGCTTAGCAGTGTTGCTCTTGTTTCTCTTCAAAAGGCACAGACTATAGGGAGGATCAGAACCCTGAAGGCTCATTTTGCAATGAAAACAGCAACAAAGGCAAAGCAACACTATGTTCCTGAGATGAGATTGTTTGGTTTCCATACAGAAGTCTACAGCAACCTAAAAGCCTGTCCTTCCTGCAGACATAGGATTAATGAAAAAGGGAAATTGAAAAGAAATAATAAGATTCTGAATGAAATAATAGAACCTAGAAATCACTTCGGTTGATAATTAAAAATGAGGGAAAGGTTTGTAAAAGCCCTGACTGGAGCACCAACTGCTGTGTCACAGTGAAAACACAAAGCTGTCCTCTGGGCCTTAGAGACCTTTGTTAAAGTAAACTAACTGGACTTTATCTCCATATTGAGACACGATGGAGTCTCTGAGCTCGGGCTCCAGCTTCGACACGGCCATAGAGCTGCAGAAGGAACAAACAAGATCAGTCAGTCAATGAAAGCATAAAACAAAAAATGATTTCTAACCACCATTTCACTCCCAAAATTTTTAAAAATAAATATTATTATAGCTTGATTACTTATTGAATCATGGTACCCTCACTGTTATAGCAGCATGACTGTAGTTTGATCCTAAATTATATGTGTATCCCCTTCCCACAAAAAAAAAATAAAAAATCTTTATTTTGTAAAAGAATTTAATCCTAAGTGATGCACAATATTTGAACTCATTTTTCTATGAGTACTGAGGCCCCGTCGGTGTCAGACGTCACTTCTCCACTGACTGCATCTTAATAAAGCTTAGCTCACCATTAAGTTTTCTCTCAGACATTTTATTTCACTGTCTGAAGTCAGATAACAGGGATTTATAGATTTGTTTGCAGGTCATAAAAACCATCTGTTAGCCAGACAGCAGAAGCAGTTTTATGACTGTTTAGTCATCCAAGTAAATCAACATGAATGCAGGAAGGAAAAAACATCTGGACTGCTCAGCAGCATTTAGCAGAATTTCTTAAGTTTGGGAGTTTCTTTGCTGGTGTAAGGACTGCCTGATGCAACACTACACAGAAAGTGACAGAAAATGCTTTGTGCATTAAAGAACTCAAAGTTAGAGGTTTAAATATGCTAAATAATGTCAGCTGTGGTATTTTGAAGCAAAATGCTGCACTTTGTTTGGGGACACAAAAGATTAATGATTCCTAAAAAAAAACAAAAAAACAAAAACAAAAAAAAACCTCAACCCTTTTTTTAATATCCATAAATGTCATGTTTAGATAAAACTAGATTCACAAAAAGCCCTGATTAAATAATCTCACCTTCTGACCTTCCAATAAGCGATCAAAGAGGTGGCCAGATGGGGAGCAGTTTTATGATATTACTAAAACATTTTGCACTATGGGAGGTGGGGAATACACTTCTAAAATAGGTCTGCTTTGTTTTTTTATTTGTTTTTTTATTTTACAATCAACATCAATATTTAGTTGTGTTAAAAAAAAATAAATAAATAAATCCAACAACCAACTGGAATCCGTATCTATATGTGCTAACAAGCTAGAAATTAGGGCAGATGACTTAAATTTAACCGTTTTTAATCATCAGGGAGGGGTTTAAAAATCAAACAGAGGATGCACAGGGCTGTATGAACCTATTTATCGAAAAAAAAATATTTTCTTAAACAAGTCAAGACGTGTTTGCAGTCTTTTCAAGCTGTGAGAGAGAGCAAGGCTTTTAGCAGATAACAGAAAGGCGAATGAAAGTACAGCAAAGTTTCTCTGTTTTATCCCTTGAAGTTTCCATTCT